TTTTCCTTTGCCCTTACCTTGCCCAGGCCTTTTCTCATGGCCTCGGGCTGGGGGGAGCCGGGTCTGGGCACAGCCCTGCCCCACATTGCCCTGTCCCACACTGTCCCCATGCCCCACACTGTCCCCAGCCCCTAGGAGGGGATGGGGGGTGCTGTCCCCGCAGAGCTCCAGTTGCCCCATAACCCCCAGTGCCGCAGCCCTTGCTGCCCTCCCGCTGCCCAGCGTCCCCCTGCGAGGGCTGAGTGCAGGGACAGTGGCCCGGAGGCCCGTGCGGGGCCGGTCCCGCTCGGCGCAGCCGGGTGTAACGGGAGCTGCGGTGGCCGTAACCCAACTCCCGCGCGGCGCCTGGTTCCCCTCCGCCGCCCGGCGCGGAGCAGCAGCCGAGGAGGGAAGGGGCAGCTCGGCCCAGGGCAGTCGCAGGGTGAGGAAGGGTCTGCGGAGAGCAGCGGGAGGGGGGGGACCTGGGTCTGGGTGCTCCTGGCACGTGCGGGTCCGGTTTTAGGGGCGGCTGCAGGGGGGCAGCTGGTCCGGGGAGGTGGCGTCGGGTCCCCAAGGAGGGGGGGCGGGGCGCCATGAAGAGCCTGCGGGCCAAGTTCAAGAAGTCGGGCGTGAGTGCGGTGCTTGGGGCCGTGGGGACCTGTGGCGGCGGCGGACATGGAGGCAGGACCGGCTTCCCAACGGACACCAGGATGTGGGAAGGGAAAACAGCATCGGGGAGTGGGAAATGGGTCCCAGGCGCTGGCCCGGGAGCAGCCAGGAGGGCTGCCAGGTTTCCAGAGCCAGCGATCGGGTTCCCGCCTTGGAGATGGCACGTCGATACTTGTCAATAATTCAGTGCGGCGCCACAGGCCCAGGACACCCGCCGTCCTCTGCCGTCAGAGCGGCCGGTGGAGACCGGGGCTGTCAGCCTGCCGGGGTGATGGCACCGTCCCCGGTGCCCATGGAGGTGTCAGAGGGAGGGGGTTGTGTTTTAGCTCCCCTAACCCTCCCCGACCTCAGGGCCGTAGCCCGTCTCGGTGCTGCCCCCCGGTTTTGGACAGGACCAGCATTTCCACCTGGTTTGTGCAGCACCGAGGACCTGTGGCGGCCGGACGTGGGGACAGGTGCCTGGGGACAATTCGTGTTTTGAGTCCCCGAGACTGTGGGGAGAGCTGGGGTCTGTGTCCCCAGGCCAGGATGGCAGGTCCTACATCCCTCTCCTCCGAGGGTCTGCGTGACAGGAGGCTGCTCCGAGTCAGCGTCTGGGTGACAGGAGGGGACTCCAGCCCTTGGTTTGGGGGTGCCCCACTGCCTCATCCTGGCAGGGGGGTGATTCCTGCCCCCACTTCCCAGTCCCTCCCAGTGTAACCGGGAGCAGTGCCTGGCAGTGCTCGGCGGTGCCGTTGTCCTCGCTCCATCCATCTGCAGGGCTGCAGGGATGCCTGGAGCTCCTGGGGACGAGGAGGGAGGGAAGGAAGGAGGGACGGAGGGAAGGAAGGAGGGAAGGAAGGAGGGAAGGAAGGAGGGAAGGAAGGAGGGAAGGAAGGAGGGAAGGAAGG